GGGGGTGGGGGGTGGGGTTGTTGTATTCCTTTTAACGAGTCGCCACCTCGGAATCATAAAGTTCTATCTGGCATTTTTGGGCGTTTGTAGTTACTTAGACCATAAGGTCAGAAACCAAATCTTCAATCTTCTCTATCAAAATCGTAAGAATATTCGGAGTCGTTATCAAGATATTCAAAGGATTGATCTCGAAAAAAGTTTAACACGATATGAAACTCGAAATCTTTGACGTCCATTCACTCCATACTAGGTACTGAGCAAATAGAACTTTGTAATTCTGAGGTAGCGAAGTGACTATTATACATTTGGAAATTAATATCTTACACCCGCATAGCCTCAATGGGAGATGCTGCCTCCGGATCCTTCACACCTCTCTTTTTAATGAAGCCATTAATGTTCAGTCTGACTTGTCAGAAAAAGATTATAAAGGTTTGATGTAAATGTAGAAGAATACAGGTAGCGGTGACACGTTTAGCTCCGCACAGAGACGGTGTGGCTGAACTGAGACGAAAACAATCACGGTTTACTGACATTTGATACAACTTTTCCCGAATTAATAGTAAACCCTGTCAAATGAGTTTAGTTTGGGACTGCTAAAATGCCACTTTTTAAAACACCCCCATCTTGAACCTTTTTGGACATCTCTGTTACAAAGTAGAAGACCGAAACGGGACCAATGGCCCTGATAAGCCACTTCGCTTTTTTCTTAGCTTATTTATTCTTAACTATTCAGAAGAAAGAAATCTAGAAGACCCCAGACCTCTGTTTACTGTCTGGCTATACCGGTGATTGATCATATTTTCAAGGCCTTTTACGCTCGCCATTGGAGTCATCCATTAAAAAAAAAAAAGCTTCTTTCTGACTACTGCATTAAAACAAAGAAATAAACAAACACAGAAACAAACTAACAAACACACAAACAAACGAAAACAAGAACAATCTTATAATATACCCTAAGAAAAATTGTCGGGTTTAATTCAATCAGGACAAATAGAAGCTCAATTTAACAAATTATTAATACTATAATACGACATGTTAATAGATTTAATATTAATCAGTTTGCTTGGTGAGAAAGTGGACATGTTTTAAGTATATTTATATATATATTATGCATCTATGCTTGTACATATGTGGTGTGTGTTAGGGGTGGGGTATTGTTGAGAGAGAGAGAGAGAGAGAGAGAGAGAGAGAGAGAGAGAGAGAGAGAGAGAGAGAGAGAGAGAGAGAGAGAGAGCGTGTCAGTATCAGACATACATTTACTAAATATAAGAACGGATTAGGTCCAGTTGACATCATAGACCCTCTAAAATAGGAAAAAATGTACCGGAAGTTATGCGAAAGGCGAGTCACGAAAGCCGCTAGGTTCATAATTGTGTCAATCAAATAGACTAAAATGTATGTTGACGAGGTACCTAGTTTCGTGACAGACAAAAGTTTGTTTGCCACACCACACCCAGCTCGCTTGATTCTCACGCTCTCAGATTTGAGATGATGGTGAGCTCGTAAAGTACCTCATTTTTATCTACGGTTTGTCACACGTTATAGCTGCTTTATGGGTATTTTTTTTTGTGGAAAGGGGGGAGGGGGGGATGGGGCGACACGACGCTTAGGATTAAAAACTAAAAAGCATGTGGGAAGGGTGTGGTTGGTTAGGGGCGCTAAGGGTGAGGTGTGTGTGTGTGTGTGTGTGTGTGTGTGTGTGTGTGTGTGTGTGTG